CTTTCTCAGGGGGATTGGATGAAAACTGTGTCAAGGATGTGAGATTTTTAGTCATGAGGAATTTTTTTATAATTAGTTGACTAAGGAGAGAAAGGGGAGCTCTGGTGGCCAAAGGGTAAGGAGCTGTACTGCAATCCCAAAGGCACACAGTTTTAGTTCATTAGTTACTCTGCAGGAGAAGGACGGGCAGCTATGAATCAGTTCGGACTCAACAGCATACAACAACAACAACAAGGAAAGAAACTTGTGTCTGGTTTACAGACAGTTTTGCATGGTACACAGGTGCCTTTCAGGAGCAGATGGTGGCAGAATAGCAGCGTCTTACTGGTACCTCGCTAAAAAACAGTGATGACAATAATCCTCCTAATGGGCAAATCCTTGAGCAATGCACCTGGGTGCTCACTTTGCTTAGAAGGAAAAATGAACAGATGGACGATTAAATACACACTAAGAACTCGATATGGAAGCATTCCTTGAGGTGATCAGACAGCAACTTTATGGTAGGTCAATTACACTAGATAGCTTCCATCTTGGAAATGGCAATGTTTTCTCCTATCTGGAATAGATACTCTCAATACATGTGGTACGATAAATTAAGCACTAAAAATCCCTGAAGTCATAGCCTTCCATTTTGTGATTCAAATCTTGTCTATGCTTATGAGCTCATTCGGGAATGAATTATTTTCTGTATTGAGGAGGTAAGTTTAGGGCAAGATAAATGTTGAACACCATTCTACTAGGAGATGGCCCAACTCATCACAATTATTTCTTTAGGGACTGTCATTTATAGCCCTAATATCCTATATAGAGGAACACACCTAAGAAGCTCAATTCTTGTTCACTTGGGTCACTGTATTTAACTAGATCCAGTTGCTGTAACAACAGACAACCAATACTCAACAGCCTCAGAATTCAGGTACCCAGTTCATTGTTCACCAGCCTTTGCAACCATGTCTATAGATCTACACCATCTACAACTATGTAAACCATTTCCCTGACCCTTTTTAGTTTCTATGACACTTTCTATGTGTAATGTAGGGATGATAGAAGGAGAATTGATGCTTTTGAGATGTCGTGCTGGAGAAGAGTATTGAATATACCATGGACTGCTAAAAGAACAAACAAGTTCGTCCTAGAGAGGGTGAGACCAGGCTACCGCTTGGAGGCAAGGATTCTGAAGCTTCGTCTGACATACTTCGGACATATTACAAGGTGAAACCAGTCCTTGGAGAGGGAGGTAATTCTTGGGAGGGTGAAGGGACAGCACAAGAGAGGAAGACCCTCAATGAGATGGACTGATTCAGTGACTGGGTTTATGGGGGGTAAGTGTGTCAGAGACAGCAAGATTTGCACTGAATAGAGCCGGGTTTAGGGCTATTGTACATAGGGTTGGTATGAGTCACAGGTGACTTGATGGCACATACCGACAACAATAACATGACACTTTCCAGTGAATTACAGAACCCAAAGATACAGGTTAAAATGAGAGAGCTGAGAGGAAGAGCAATGACTGATGTCACACATGATGGAATGGAACAGCACTTAGGAGAAACTGAATATTTATAACACTTTTATCCACTACTTTATAGAAATATTGTTGCTCTTAGGTGTTATTGAGTTGAGAACGACTCATAGAAAACCTATGAACAATACCCTGCAAATATCTGTCTATTTTTCATAAAGTTTTCAGGGCCCTCTTTTTATAGAAGCTAGTCTTGTACTAAACACTGAGAAAAAAGTTATTTGTGCAGTACAGAATTGTCTTCCTTGCATACAGTACTTCTGGCAAGACTGACAGAATGTCTTTTCTACCATCATGGCATTAAACACAGTTTTGCCTCAGATCAAGAGATTCACTTCACAACAAACGAAGTGTGGCAATGTGTTTATGCTCATAGGATTTACTGTTATTATCATGTTCTTCATCATCCTGTAGTAGCTGGTTTGATAGAATGATGAAATGCTCAGAAGAACTAAAATAGAGATAATAAAGTTATCTCTATTCAAAGCTTAAGATACAGCTGTCAGATCATGGGTTGGACAATGGAAGATATTTTCTGAAGGGACTTGGCAGATGTGAAGGGTTATCCTGGTGGAGGGTGGAGCTGGGAAGGAAGTGGGTCAAAGCACTGGGCTAAGGGTGGGGTCAACACTGTAACTAATGCTTACCTCCACAATAAGGGATTTATCTTTCAC